AAAGAAAGGCAGTGTGCTTTTTGTTCTGGCAATAAAACCTCTTATAGGAAGTTAAAATCAATCATTGCCAAAAAAATCGAGAACGCAAAGAAACAATATTACCAGCATGAAGTGGAGGAACTGCAATGCTCCAAGCCAAAACAATGGTTTAAGTCAATGAAGAATTTAATGGGGATGGAAGGAGATAAGAGTGACATGGTGTCTCAGGATCAAAACATCATGCAACGCGAGTGTGACACTCTGGCTAGGCACTTTGCTTCTGTGTGGAATTATGCGAGCCACATTTCTTTGCCTGAGGAAGAAGTTACCTGCAAGTTGTCAAATTGTAGTGTACCTCCTCTGAGTATTGGACAAGTTAAGACTAGACTCCGTAAAGTGAATGCAGCCAAGGCTGCTGGTCCCGACTGCGTTCCTCCTTGGGTGCTAAAGACTTTTCATGAAGAGTTGGCACCGGTATTATGTGACATCTTCAATACATGCATTCAACATAACATTTTTCCAAAACAATGGAAAGAGGCTATAGTCAAAGCTGTTCCTAAAAAAGCAAAGCCTAGTTTTCCAGCAGATTATCGCCAGATTTCACTACTCAGCTGTGTTGGAAAGGTGTTTGAAGGAATCCTCAGAGATGCCATTCTGGAGGATACAGTTACTAAGATCGAACCATCACAACACGGCTTTATGAGGAACAGATCAACTGACACTGCCTTGATTCAAATTCTGCAGCACTGGCATGAAGCACTTAACAGCTCCCCCAAAATGGATATACATGCTGTTTTTGTTGACTTCACTCATGTCAAACTTTAAATAAAACTAAACTAAACTAAACAACATTGCTGTTTTACAGTATTTTTAATCAATTAAATGCTTCTTACAAAAACAAAAAGCATACCAGCTCCAAGCTTTTAAACTGGTTGGTTCATTGATGTTAAATACTATTTTTGACTTAATTTAGATTAACCACTTTTTTTTTTTCAGTGCGGATGGTCAAAATCACCCACCAAGTTATGGATTGAGTCTTTCTTTCAGTGTAAATCTGTGGGATTTACAAAGTCTAAGGAAAAGTAATAAAGGTAAACTGTGTAAGGTAGCAGTATAACTCTTTATTGTCCCTTCACAGGGCAATTTCTGCAGCATCAACATCTCACTCATGTCCGTAGCACAGTCAGTGCAGGACATATTACGTCCCAAAGTTTATTATTTAAGGTCAGGGGTTTGTTCAAATCTCTAACACCTGAGCAATAGTACTAATAATTTGTAGTGTTTTGGGCAATATAAACAATTCCACCACACAGTACCTACTTTCGCTCTTCAATCTGGGTGCAAAGTGAACGTCAGTGTTTGAGGATGGTGAGAAAGGAAAAGAACGAGGGTTAGAGGGTGTTTCAAAGGGGGCAGGCATTCCGACTTCAACTCTCCCAACATTGCGTGAGAGGCGTTAGGAAGCCACCATACGTACGCTTACTAAAACACTCAAGGACAGTTCATCACCATTGCATTGTTTCCTGCCTATGGCTCCAACACCTACTTATTCTCTTCGGCGGCACAAGACATTTGTTGTACCCAGGAGTAAAACCAAACGTCATGAACTCTCCTTTATTCCCCGTGAAGTCTAAGGAAAAGTAATAAAGGTAAACTGTGTAAGGTAGCAGTATAACTCTTTATTGTCCCTTCACAGGGCAATTTCTGCAGCATCAACATCTCACTCATGTCCGTAGCACAGTCAGTGCAGGACATATTACGTCCCAAAGTTTATTATTTAAGGTCAGGGGTTTGTTCAAATCTCTAACACCTGAGCAATAGTACTAATAATTTGTAGTGTTTTGGGCAATATAAACAATTCCACCACACAGTACCTACTTTCGCTCTTCAATCTGGGTGCAAAGTGAACGTCAGTGTTTGAGGATGGTGAGAAAGGAAAAGAACGAGGGTTAGAGGGTGTTTCAAAGGGGGGATAGAAAGCATTGTCTTTCATGGTCATGTCAAATCTAATTGGATTGTGGATTGCGTCCCAATCCGTGAAGTGCTGATAGTGGGCCGGAGGTTTGGCCGGGACAGGAAGAGGATGCTGCCACTCTTATGCTCTCATTTTGGATGAATAGATGAGTCGGTGGAAGGGATAGAAGGTAGAGAGGGATAATTCTGGAATCTTTGTAGATTTAGATCAATGTACAACATGATCTTTCAATGTCTGGCCTCTATAATCTGGGTCAGAATCATTGTTTTTACCCATAAGCATCTTAGCTCAGTGACCTGCAGCCTATCCTGTGTGAATTGGAGCATAAGGAGTTTTTTTCTTGTGTATTCTCTCTTTACTGTACTCTATTTTCAGCCTTTTTTATCCCTCAATTAATTTCAGAACTGTTAATTCCACTTCATCATCACAGACAGTGAATTGGCACAAAGCGTCTGAGCCTGCGTCCATTATGTTCTACTAATCATCTATTGCAGAGAAGTGTGTCTCAGCATTTAATATGTGTGTGCATCTACATCCTGTTGACATTGCTTTCTGGGAGTGAGATTAGTTTTCAAATCCTTTTCAGTTGTCCTGTCCATTATGTTAAACCCTGCTCCAGTTGATCTATATCCTTCCCAGTACTGCTGTCTACAAGCGTGTTCGACAAGAACTGAAATATACTGTAATGTTACATAAATACTGGAGTATTATGCAAATATATGGTGTTAAATGATCTCTGATGTTTAGAAGGTATTTTCTGAGCATCAGGAAGTTGTGTATGTACAGAGACACTCAAGATTTTGTGTAACAATGCTCTTGTGAATCTTTTCACAACAACAGAGCTGCGTAGTTTTTCTTTTTTTGGTTGTAATTTACTCACCAAACTTTCTGATCTAAATTTTCTTTTCCATACTATGAAAGCATTTAGTTAGTATGAATACTAAAAGAAAAACAAAACACCAGATTCGCAATTGTGTGTATTGAAATATTCGGTGTGAAAACTTTTCCAGTGGATAATTATTTATATTTCAATCTATCTGTCATACATATGGCTTCCAAAGATGTAAAATACGACACATGCAGTGTTAATGCAGTATTATTCTTATACTACCATAGTATTGATAAATATATTGAATTGGCTTTTATTTTTATATTTTCATTTTTATTTTAGCTTATGTTTTAGTCAATTTGCTACATGCGTTTGTATTTTTAGTTATTTTTAAAATAATTTTTAACTTCAAATTATTTTCCTTCTTTTCATCTAATATTTATATATAATTTTCAGATTTATTTCGATTAACAAAAACAATTCTTAATACTTTAAGAATTAATACCTTTTAATAAAAAAAAGTTTTTTATTTTAGCTAACAACAACACTGAGCACACATAACATCCACTTCATTATTCATTCAATTTGATTCTTTGCAAAGAGCTTAATTGACAGGTGATCTGACCAATCATAACGCCGAATCCGCCATTTTGTCTGAAAAACAAATCAGACAGGAGAGTGGATTAACTTCTGTGGACGTAAACTTGAAAAATATTGATGTCTTTCCACGGTTGAAATAAAATATGTTCTGATGTTCATTCATGTTTATTTCGTGCTTTAAGTAAATTTGAAAAGACGATTAGTTCACGTGCCGCTTGAACTGAGGCGCTGCAGTGATCTGTCATGACACATTAAAGAGCCACAAAACGGTATTTATTGTTTATAACACAATTATTTTTTCACCTGACCTTATTGAGTATGCATTTGTATGTGTTTCCCTTTCAGATGCATTTACTGGTATTTGCGCAATCATTTAACACCCCCAAAAAGCATGTCTTTAAGCAGGCGGTAATTTGTGCTGCTCTTGGTAAATTGCACTGGTCATTATACGTCTGTGTTCTTTCATTTGCGTGTTGTCTGTAAATCACTTACAGAAATTTCCCCTCCCATCAGTGGTGTTTTGGAATTGCAGTATCGTGCTAATTACCCTGTTTAGTAAAACTGACATTGTCATTTTACTGTCATTTTACATGGAAGCATTTGTCATGTATATATTTTTTTGATTTATGTCGTGTTTTCTGAACAAGTAAGTTGCTCTTTTTTTGGATACATTTAATTTGTCTCCTGTATAAATCATTGTCAATATCACATTCCACTCTCACTTTATATCATTCAAGAGCTTGTTCTTCCTACCACCCCCTCAGGCCGTCCCGCTTCAATCGTGTCAGACGGAGAATATACATGCGCTTCACATACAAAACTATTATCTGCTCGATTTCACATTTTCGATTCTCCTGGGTGACTTCACCCTGAAATCACACTGACAGCATAAAGTAGTGCTTGAGAGTATTGCAAATGTTGAAGCAGGTTTGGAGGGAGAGTGTTTTCAGTCTTTGTATGCCCTTCTCGTTAGCCCTCTGATGGAGGAGATGAGCTGAAGCACACTGGTGTCATGGTGCAAAGTGATTTTGAAGGAGAAGCAGCCATGTTGCATACACATGCACATGTTCTCCTCTCGCACTTGTCTTTGCAGCTCTGTTTTGCAGCGAGCCAGTCTCAGCCAAGGCAGAATTTTATTTAGAGACCTTCAGATCTGTCAGCTGTCCCAGTGGCCCTTTAAGACAGGGAGTTGACATCTCACTCAGTCAAGAAGATAAGCTGGGTTGCACGCAGCCTCTGATGTGTTGCATCATTTTGGCTTTTGTTGAACTTCTCACATGCCTCTCAGAGTTTTCAGCAGGGATCCTGAACCTTCTTCAAGCTCTTCTTTTCTTTGCCTTGGTTGTATTTGAGCAAACCCTGCCAGTTATCTAATTTTGTCATATCCCACCACTCAATGTGCTCCATAACTGCTCTACATGTGTCACAATTAAAATGACGCCCATCGTCACACTATCTAAAAATATCTATAGTGCTGTTATCAGCCAATTTATAACCTCCATCCATCAACTGTAACTTATTTGTAGTGACAGAATCCATTTTTATGCTGTTTTACATTTTCACCTCGCTGTTTAAGTGTGCGTCAGCTGTATTTGTGTGTTTATTTTGTACTCGCAGTTGAGCGATGCATGAGTGTGATGCAGTCGGGGACTCAGATGGTGAAGCTGAAGAATGGTTCTAAAGGTCTGGTCCGGCTCTTCTATTTGGATGAACACCGTTCCTGCATCCGCTGGAGACCGTCTCGCAAGAGTGAGAAAGCCAAGAGTAAGTCAAACACACACAGATGTATGTAAACATAAGAATGTACACAGCTGAAAGATTTTGTTTAATATATGGAAATGATGATGCAGTTTTGTTATTGTTAACTAAAACTAAAATCATTCAAAATCTTTTTTTATAACTTTTTATCACATAACTTTTTAATAATTTTTTATAACTGAAATAGCTTACATAAGTTGAAATGCTAACAAAAATGAAGTCAAATAGAAATAAAACAAACAAAAACACATAAAAGCACATAACAAAATAACTAAATCTTAAACAAAAAATGAAAACTGAAAATATAAAAGTAAAGTTTATTCAAATAATAATATTGTCACACCCCTGGACTGTTTGTTGTGTTTTCTTTCCCCATGTACTCTGTGGGACCTAGTTTCTGTCTCCCGTTCATTATGTCATTTGGTTCAGGTGTGTCTAGTTAATTATCTTCATTTGCCAACCTACTTAATTTGTGTTCTGCTCACTGTTTTCTGTCCGGTCTACTACATCCCTACTATTTGCATTCATCTTCATCTTCTTTGTGCGTTTATCTCACCGTAGCGTGACAGAAGACCGGGTGTTTGTTTTTTTGTTTAAAGTTTTTTCTTTTGGATTTTTTCTTATGGAGCTCACCGAGAGATTTGCCGCTCTGGCTCGGAGGAGCCAGGATATTGAGGATTTCGCAAGGGACTTCAGCTGTTTCGCCGTCACCAATGTCTTCTACGACGAGACGCTGAAGTCCCTGTTCAAGATCAGGGTAAACTGCCAGCACCCCCCGTCGACCTCCCAGACACCACAGGACTGAACTGGAGGGAGGTGATCATCCGGTGTCTGGAGAGCGTCCGGCTCCGATCTAGAATGCTGCTTGACCCAAAGCCCAGCCCACCATCACCTCCATGCGCGGAGCAAAAGCCTGAGCCCACCGATGATGGAGAGCCTGAGCCCGCCGCAGCCGACGAGCCATCGCCTAATGGAGCGACAGAGCTGAGGATCGCCCCGGAGTCAGAGCCAGAGCCTCAAATTACGTCAGACCAAGTGCAAGAGCCGGCTATAGTGCTCGCCGTGAGGGAGATGGCCATGGACAGCGAGTGCGTGGAGGGAAGCTCCGCCCACTGCACCATGGCTGAGGGTGAGCCAAGCTCAGTGGATTATAACTTGGATTTATATGCGGACATGCCTTATCTTCTCCCACCATCATCTTCCGTCTATCCCATCACGACCACGGAGGTCGTGTTTGAATCATCTGCCTGCCCTGAACTCTCTGTCTGTCCTGTTTCGGCCATGGAGGCTGTTTGTGAACTATCTGTCTGCCCTGAACTATCTGCCAGTCCTGAAACGACCATGGAGGTCGTTCCCCTATCGCTGGCACGCCCGGTGCTGGGAGTGGCCTTGTGGTGTGTGTGGGCAGCACACACCGTTCCTAAACCCCCTGAACATTCTGAACTCCTGCCCAGCCTCCCTCTCCCACCTCCTCTATATCAGTCCTCACCATCGCCACCACTGTCTCCATCGGCGTCATGGCTGGAGGATCCCTTGTCTCCGCCTCCAGCTTCTGAGTCCCAGACACCGCCTCGGCCCTTCGACCCAGCGGCTCCACCATGGCTTCTAGCTCCCTCCTCTCCGCCATGGCCCGTCAGTCCACCAGCTCCGCTGGGCTCCATCGTCCCTCCGGCTCCGTCTTGGTCTATCGTCGACCATCCGCCGCCTTGGGACTCCACTCCTCCAGCTACACCTCGCTCCTCCGTCCCTCTGGCTCTGGCGGCCTGGGTCCCGCCTGGCTCCTCCTGCTCCCTCCTGTTGTGTTTTCTTTCCCCATGTGCTCTGTGTGACCTAGTTTCTGTCTCCTGTTCATTGTCATTTGGTTCAGGTGTGTCTAGTTAATTATCTTCATTTGCCAACCTTCTTAAGTTGTGTTCTGTTCACTGTTTTCTGTCCGGTCTACTACGTCCCTACGTGTGCATCCTGCCTATCCGTCCTGTATCTACCGTCTTGTGGATTACTTACCTGTAACAACGTTCGTAGTTCGGGAAGAAGGAGGCGAACATTTAAAGAAAACTTTAATAAAATAAACAAACACAAAATGAAAGTAAAGCGGCAGCCCCTCGCGGACGACTGCCGCACACAAAATAAAGTCCAGGCCTGGTCCTCTCTCGTCTTTCACTGTCGTCATTCCTCCTTTTATACTTCCGGAGCTCCTCCGTGGGACTCCGGTGAGTGAGTGAAACTGGTGAGTGGTGCAGGTGTTGCTCATTATCAATTACTCCACCGGCCTGTTTGTAGATCGGGAAGAAGGAGGCTGGAACCGGCGAACACTTAAACAAAACTTTAATAATAAAATAAACACAAAACAGCGATAAAATAAACACAAATCAGCGCGACAGCCCCTTGTGGACGACTGTCGCGCACAAACAGAACCAAAACACAAAATAAAATCCAGGCCTGGTCCTCTCTCGTCTTTCACTGTCGTCACTCCTCCTTTTATACTTCCGGAGCTCCTCCGTGGGACTCGAGACCGGTGAGTGGTGCAGGTGTCGCTCATTATCAATTACTCCACCGGCCTTGCTCCGTTCCCACGGCTCTCGGCCCCACCCCGACTCGTCACATTACCCTTTGACGCGTACGATCACACCGGTGTGTTGGCTGGTCCCTGAAGTGTACGATCACACCGGTGTCATTAGAACGTTCAGTGTGTCACGTGATCAACTGCTGAATTCAAATCTGCTTTCCCACTTTGGCTGGCGCGGAGCCAGGTCGGACGCGCTGAGCGCTTGTTATTATCACAACTATTCAGTGTTTTCAACCATATAATACTAATTTTAGGTTTCAGACATTTAAATACACATAAGTACTAGCAATACCATACATTTATAGTTTGTAAAATACGCGCTGATGTCTATGGAAGCAGCAATAATGATCCTTACAAATATAATCTGATGACATGTTTTATTGATATCCTATGCAGATTGTGTAGATAAATATAAAGTTTAATCTGCTCTTCTCCCAGTTTACTGGAGACTTACTTCAATGTCTTTTGGGAGGAGTGGATAGATTTACGTGTTGTAAATCCCACAGCTCGGATTCAGCGCAAACTAATATGGCGGCGCCCATCACCCGGTATAGATCAACTAACATGGTCAATATAAAAGTGTTTAAACTACCAAATACATTTACTTGCACATATTTCAGAATCGGAATATCAGATATTTAATAATATAGTGAGTATGTTTGTGAATATTAATAATAAAAAAGGAAAAACGAAATAAAGGCGATCCATGTGTCATACAGCGCTATTGTGGCTGTGTTGTGTCACATGACAAGCATGACGTGTCGCCATGGAAACAACAAGGCTATACATTCTAAAATAATGGTCGGCTAAAATAACTCACCCTGGGTGTTATGGACGGAGACTCACACAGAAGGTTAGGAATAACAGAGGAGGTTTATTTGTGGCAACAGATGCTGGTGGTAGACTGGTAGGTGAGTAAGCAGTTCAAATGGAAATGTTCTATAGTAATTGAGGTGTGGGAATGAGTATGCTTGCCCTTGCAGGAGTCCGTGGAAGAGCAGATGGTGGAATGGAAGGTGGCACACACCTCGCCGTAATAAGGACTGGAGGGGTGTTCCCGGAGACGTAGGAGGACACAGGCGTTGGAGTAGAACACAGGAGGTAGGTACACGAGGAAGGTAAGGATATCAATCATTCGCTGGAGTAGCATGAAGAGTCCACTTTGTATAAGCAAGATCGGACACTGGAGTGAGGTGTGTGCTTATGAAGTGCCTTGATGAGGGTGATGATCATGAACAGGTGCGTGCAATCAGAACTCAGGTGAAGGTGTGCGCTGTGATTGGGTGGTGAGTGAACCTAGCCGATCCGTGACACTGGGGGCTCAGCTAGAATATTTTAAACTCACGTGTGAAAGGGTTAAAGACTATTTGCATTCATCTTCTTCGTGCGTTTATCTCTCCGTAGCTGTGATAAATATATTCTATAATTAATAGTAGCCTATATACATTTTAAAATATCACTGGGATGTGCAGTCATCTGAAAATAAACCTTGACAGAGTGATCAAGAATTTTATTTGCTGACAGACAACTAATTACTAAATAAATAAATTAACATATTTTGAAACATTGCTTTCAGTTAAAATGATCTTATGTGAGGAAAAATTAAGTGGAGTAGGAAAATGGAGTGAAATATTAAAAGGAAGCTAGCACATTTATTTAAGAACAAAAGTCAATTATAGAATTTACATGGCAGTCATTAGAAGAAAAAAAAGCAAATGTGCCACAGAATAGCAGAATTATTTTTTATTTATGGATATTGCATAAAAATGCTGTATGGAACAAGATGCAAATAAAATGTCCAAAATGTGCATAAATAACGTACAAAAAATGCAATGCAAACACATTTACTAAATACATTTCATAGTTCATATTTGCTCCAGTTTCCCCTAGAATTTTGTTCTCTTGAAAACGTGGAATAGTTGCAGTCTTTTTTTGTGATATTCAATTTTTTTTTTACATGTATTAAATTCCCTATTGATGGAAACATAGCTAGTGACAAATCAGTCAGAAACAATCTGCTTCCAATGTTCCACATCTGTGGTTTACTGATCTCTTTCTCTCTGTCACTTTCTTGATGTCTTTTTCTTGTTCGCTGGCTCTCCCTTTCTCTTTTCCTCCCTCTCCTTTAGTCTCTGTGTAATACTTGCTCTCTTCTGCTTCCCTATCAAAGAAGCCCATGTAGATTTTGATATTTTGAGTCTCTGAGCGCAGCTCCCCTCTTATACATAATGGCTGTGTATGAATCACAGGCCAGGGGCTTCCAGAAACACGCCGCTCTCTCACCATCTGTGTCTGCGCTCCACTCTGCTTGTTTGGGTGAAGTGAATTCTGCATAAGCGCTCCTTTTTTCCCTGGATGAGCTGTTAGTGTGCTGGAACTAAATCCTGTTCACTCCTCTCCATATTCACTTTAGGCTTTTGTTAACGGAGCTGATC